AAACGTTTCGCCTACACAGTAGGCTTCTTCAGTCGAATACAGAAAGTAGGCAGGAACAGTAGAGATGTGAAGACGATGTAATCAGTCCATCACCCTTGAAGTCGTAGAATTTGAGGTTGTCAGTCCCTCAGCCTGGAGAAGTTTAGTTCCATAGTCAGATAGTTCCTGACTATGGAACTGAACTTCTCCAGGCTGAGGGACTGACCTCAAATTCTACGACTTCAAGGGTGATGGACTGATTACATCGTCTTCACATCTCTACTGTTCCTGGCTACTTTCTGTATTCGACTGAAGAAGGCTACTGTGTAGGCGAAACGTTTCGGAATAAAGTTGCCTAACTGTTGCCTATGTGTCTTACCTACCAACCTGTCGGTATTGTATACCATTTTGATGTTCTTCCTGACTTGTATATCACAGTCCAGTTCATCGAAGTGTTTGTTGATAATCTGTTCCTGTCCAAATTCGATCTGCATCTACGAGCCCCAGATATCACTAATTTTACCATATTTAGTTAATATTAAGCCTGAGTTAAACAATAAATATTACCTGCAAGAATATGGAATGACTATGGAAAACAGCCTTCCGTTGATGTCGAGCAATTTATAGGTGAAATTCTTCGATAAATGTTTTAAAAAGTATATGCTAATGATATTCTTAGCTGTGACTCACAGGAAAAAAAAAATTGCTAAAATTTTGAATAGACTGGCAATTTTCCTTAATTTTAAAATGGAAGTTGAGTAGGATAAAGCCATTCAATGTATATATCTATTATTGAAATAGCAGGGTGATTATACTTCAACATTTTTGGGGCACATCTTGTCTGTAACCCAAAATTGTTTGACTTAAAAGATCAAAAATATCTTAGAAATTGCTAATGTAATCTACAGTACCCACACAGAGGGAAGCGTACTTAGTTGACAACTGAGACACCCGGTATTACCCCGGGAACGGGCATTTACTTTCGTGTGTGTGTGTCACTTCCACCAGCTCTTAGTCATTTACTTTTGCTCATCAGTATTCTCTTTTAAATGCTCAACATATTTATTTTTATTACATCGTATTAATAGTGTGAAGAGGTTTGAAATAACCTTGAAAGAAGCTATAATATTCTTTACATAACTTTTGCACTTCGTTAAGCTTCTTTCACTACATAACTCTTCTTGACAGAGATTAAATTGCTTAAGAAAATATGATAACACTGTCACTGAAGCTTCCATTCTTATTATATTCAATACACTGTTGCTTCAGCTCCAACCTCCCTACTGAGGAAAACGAGAAGCAAAAGTTTCCCTCACAGTGCAGTTGACGGAACAGACTACGTTGGCACAGCGGATTACATTAGCAACACTGGCCTCTCCAGCCACCTTACTTAATATCCAGAAATCAGTCTGTACTGTTAAGCAATATAACTCGTATAACATTAAATAACATGGAGGGGGTCAACGCCCCCGCGCCTCGGTCTGAGACCAGGCCTAGGCGTAAGTATTTGAAATGAAGTGAATAGAATTCTTGGCTTCATATCAAGAAGGTAGGTTATTCTTCAACTCTATATATCACTGGTTAGGCCTCAGATTATGCTGCACAGTTTAACCCGGCCTCACAGCAGGGGGCAGCGTTATAGCAAGGTCCGTGGCATCACGGCTACCGTATTTGAAATATGATTACAGAATACTTTTAATTCAAGGAATTTTTCAGTTACTTATATTCATAACAAAATATAGTTTAAAGTGAGAAGAGGAATATGTATTTCGTCATAATGCATATTATATTTTTTTTTTTTATATATTTTATTTAAAATACAGTATACATTATACATGGATGCCAATATACATCAACAAAACCAATCAACATGAACAACAAATTTAATTACCACACACCTATACACAATTCATAAATGCTTCATGCCCTAAATACCCCCAACAATCCAATTAATCTACTCCAGCACACTTCCACCATATGCGAAGTGTTATACAAACAGTCAAAAGGTAAAAAAAACTTCACATACCATTAAACCCTCTGCTCCACCCCTCCCCCAAAAGGTACCTTATTTAATCATACTTATTTGCACAGCAAATTAAAGGTACTACCTCCTTCCCTCCCGCACAGAAACCATCCATCAAAACCTATAAA